CAGCAGGAAGTAAGACTTATGCAGTTGGCAGATGTGAGGTTGAAAAATGTTTCTATGTTGTCAGTGCACATTAAGAACTGTCTAAGCCTTCTCTTGAAGAACAGAGAACTCAGCATGAGTAATAGTTAAAATATCTGTGGCATAGAGCAGTCTGCCATTATTTGTCATTATATTTGGATTCTTCTTAATATAGATTCATATTGAAGATAGCTCATGCTTAATTCTATTAACAATAGCACTTGAAATACATGCTTAACTTTATATATGCTTAAGGCCCATTGGAGTTAATGAAACTTAAGAAGGGGCATTAGCACTATTCTGAAAATGGATGTTTTTCTGAAGCAGGACCATGAAGAAGAAATACTCTGTACTAGAGGTTCACTGATACATTGGTCTATATTGTATCAGGACCAATAAAAGGAAAATTGACATTATTGGCAAACAGCCTGTTTTGGCTGTTGTGGTTGATAGTGCTGCTGATAAATGCCATGTGCATGAATGCAACCACAGTAATCATGCAGCCATCCCAGCACCTTGGAAAGCGGCGTCCAGCTGGTAAGTCTGTTGGGGTGAAGGGGTGGAGAGGGAAGGGGCATGGGAGGGGGCAGATCAAGGCCCCCATGGTGAGGGAGGGAGTGGGGCTGGGGCAGGAGCAGGCACTGCCCAGCTGGGGCAGGGTGCAGGATGGAGCTGCGAGCAGCTGTCGGGCTGGGCCGCGGGGCGGCTGACCCGGGGGGGGGGTGTCTTCCGCCACTGTGCACACACTCAGGGGAGGCATATGGGGCATGTGCCCCCTGGATCTGTGCATGGGATGATGGTGGGCTGCCGCTGCAGGCTGTGGGTGGGGGCAGCATCAGGCTCTTCCTGGTGCGGGGCTGCATTTGGGGTGGGCAGCAGTGGCACTGGGAATGGGGCTATGGGGTAGGCTCCCCCATAGCCCCCCCTCCCAGCACTGCCACCACCCACCTTGAGTACAGCCCTGGCCCAGCCCATCCTTCCCCACTGGGAAGATCCTGGTGCAACCCCGACTCCAGCCTGCCCTTGCCCCACATGCAGATCTGGGGGGCACACACCCCCTATGCCTGCCCCTGGGGTGCATGCAGTGGTGGGAGCTGCCCCCTGCTCCCTCCCTATGCCCCCTGGAAAAGCTGCTCGCAGCTCCATCCCACACCACCTGCCCCAGCCCCAGCCCCCCTTCCACCCTTACTGTGGGGACCTCAATCTGCCTCCTTCGTGCCCCGTCCCTCCCACTACCCCTTCTCTCCCAACAGACTTACCAGCTGGATGCTGCTCTCCAAGCTGCCGGGCTGCATATTGGCAATCAGATAACAGGGCAGGTGCCACAGGGCCTCACCCAGCCTCATGGAGGGGGCAGACCAGCCTGATCCAGCTGTGCCAGTCAAGGGGGCTTGACCCAACTCGAACATGGCCCCATGTGGGGCGGGGAAGGATGCATGACCCAGCCCCATCCAGCCCTGCAGAGGGTGGGGGTATGGCCCAGACCCACGGTGGGAAGTAAGCATGGCCTGGCACCAAACCAGCCACACAGGTGGGGGGTAGAGAGGAGTGACCCAGCTCTGCAGCAGAAAGGAGGTGGGGCCTGGCCCTGAACAAGCTGTGCAGGAGGAAAGGGGCATGGCATGGCCCCAACCTGGCCAGGCAGAGGGAAGCAGGCATAGCCCAGATGGGGAAAGGAGGAGGTAGGGGTGTGGGTTGGCCCTAACCTGCTTCACAGGGGTAAGGAGCATGATCTGGCCTCAGCCCAGATGCACAGAAGGAAGGGGGCATGGGTCAGTCCCGATCTGGCTGTGCAGGGGGAGGATTGTGGCCTGGCTCCAACCCACTGTGTGAAGCTTGGGATTTTGGCAGCAGGGAGGGGTAGCAGTATTAACTGCAATTGCTCCCCATGCCCACCAGATTTCCCAACACCTGGGGAGCCCTGTGGGCCAGTCTGCAAGGCTCCGTAAGCCTTGGGTTGAGCACCCCTGAGGTATGAAGTTGTTACACATTTTCAAGCACTGTACATCTAGAGGGTTCTTTTTATAGCCAAATGAACATTTTTATTGCATATTTACTTTGCAAGTGTGGCCAGTCTAAATTTATTGTACAATGAACCAGTTAATTGCATAATATATGAATCATGTGGCCGGGGCCTTAAATAGTAGACATTGCCACACTGTGCCCCTTAGATTGTGAAAAGGCCACCAGATCTGTGGGGTTTCACACCCCGTGGCACTTCCCTTGATCTGCATCCAAATTTCCATTGTGCGCTGAAGTGCACCAACACAGAATCCTGCTTTCATAATGTACAGGAGCCTCACAACACCAATGTGAAATATCTTCTATTTTCTAAATTCAAGTCCCTGTTCAATAAAGTACTTATGTACATACATAAAGTTAAGCATACACCTAAGTCTACCTTCATTTAAGATAGAATGAATGCATATGCTAAAAGTAAATATACGTGCTCAGGTAAAATACGGTAGAATTTCACCCCTAGAGAAAATAAGTAGAATATTTTCTATGGGGGGGAGGTGTAATGACATATATAAAATACACCGAATATAAAAGCACAGGACTGTCCTTGTCTTTATAAAGCACAGGATTAACCACAACAGTTTAGAGAAATAAAATAATACGCATCTTTTACTGTACTTTACAATAGTTATCTCAAGCTATGGAATCAACTTGCACAGACTGTAGTACAGAACCTCAGTACAATGTAGCAGCAGCAGCAGATTATAGCTCCTGTCCACAGTCCTCTTCTGTTTCCTGGTCTTCAAAATGTAAACAGTTTCCAGAACAAAATTTCAGCACAAATCTAGTAAGTAATACTTGGAGATTGGCTTATGAAGAGACACAGAACAAACAGGTTTGATAAAGATATTTATGTTTCAGAAGAATTATGTTAAAAATGTATTTCTTTTAGGGAGGGTCTAGTGAAATTATGGTTATTAATATGAAAAATCTTCTTCTTTGTCTGAGCCTTTTATTAATTAATACAAAACAATAACATCTTGTTGATGTCTATTGAGGCTGGACTAGCACTACCTTTACTCTTGATTACCAGTTGCTGCATTGAATTAAAGATAATTGAAATACATTAAATATTTTCCTAATATTGCTTCCCCTCATAAGCAATTGCTGTAACTGGATGATTACAGATTATAAGGGAGGTGATCAGTACAATTATATTTGTGATCATATAACATCCTCTTAAATTAGTAGTTCTTAATCTTTTGGCCCCTAACCCACCTTAATAACTGCAAAGTAATCTACACAGCCTGTAGAACTAGTAGTCCAGACCAAAACAAGAAACAGCAGTGTATCCACCTTAGCAGACCACAATGCCAGTGCAAGATGGTGCTATGCAGAGTTGCTGAGCTAGCTCTGCATGCCATGCCTCCTGAATGGGAAGCAGCACAGATGTATTAGCACAGTGCTGTGCCCAGACTAATTAATTCTGACTCTTAGCAGAGCTAGTTAGTGCGTCTGCAGCACCTCACTAAGCCATCTATATTGCTTCCCATTTCGGAAGTAATGAGCATGGAGCAGCGTGGTGTCATAACACAATGCATCATGTACCAAGGCTAGGTGGTCAAGCCATTAGCAGAAGTCTGAGGAGTAGCCAGGATCAAAGCCAGAGGATCAGAGCCGAAGTCAGCATGGAAATGCTAGAAGAGCAAGGTCAGGGAGCAAGCTGGATCAGATACCATGAGAACTGAGCTCCAACAATCCAAGACATGAGGGAGGCAGAGGGTGAAGTCTGAGTGGGGTTGGCAGTGAGTGATCAGATCTTGAGTCAGAGTGCAAAGGAAAGGACAGCAGGAGCCTTGTGGCTTGGACAGCTTCCCCAAGAAACAGGAAGTCCTATGTAGGCAAGAGGACCCAATCTGGAGCCAGAGGTAGAAGGCCTTTCCCCATCAGGGCCCCTTTTCTTTCTGCTTTGTCTTCCTTCGTGAGCTGTGGGCTGATGGAAGGATGAGCTGGTGCTTGGTCCCTGAGCCCCTGGGTTGTGGTTCCAGGACTGGATCTTGACATGATGCTGATTAATGCTGTAACAACATTTGGAGGAAGTAGCCAGTTCCCATAAGCTCTCTCTATATCACGCATTACATCTCACCTGTTGGTACCTCAGGAGCATAAGGACTGCCCTATTTGGTCAAACCAAATGTCCATTAAGTATCCAGTCCCTGATAGTGGCAAGTAACAGATGCTATAAAACAGATAAGAAACAGGGTATAAAGAATATAAGAAACAGGTATAGTGTAACCCATCCCCTTTCATAGAGAGGGAAAAGGTTACATCCCTGACTGTTGTGCTTAATAAACCTGGGTGGACCTGTCCTTCAGAAACTTATCAAATCCTTTTTTGAGCTCTTTTATTCTTTTGGTTTCCACAACATCCTATATTAATTATGCACTGAATAAAAATACTTCCCTATTTTTATTCTAAATTTTCCACCTCCTGGTCATTTCATCAGGTGCTCCTATTATGAAAGATCATAAAAAACAGTTCCCTATTTACATTTTACACACCATTTACAATCAACACACTGCCCTGTGATAGAGAACCACTGCTCCAAATAATCTCTCTCCATTACATTGTGCTCAGTTTGTGGGAAAGTTTGAGAACTTGTGCTTTAGACGATACCTTTGAACTCAAGGTAATATTTTCCTATGCCATTTTAAGACATTTATTGACAGGTGGCCTTCTCTAGGTTATCTGACTTTTTAACTTTATTTTTTTGATAATTTTAGGTTTTAAGAAATGTGAAGAAGTAGTAACAATTATAAAAGGGGCCTTAATTTTTTTTGAAAAATTGATAATTCTCCGTGAAATTAAAAAGTTTAATATGTGTTTCATTTGCTTATGTATTTAGTTGATTTGTATGCTGCCCTGCCCAAATTTGGTGACAAAATGATCAATGCTAGTTTCAGAAGTCAGTTTTATGTGGCTCCTTTGTTAATCTGGTAGCAGTGGGTCCTAGATAGACTGGCTGGCTGACAACCAGTACTGAAATTATGAGCTGCATTAAAGTCAATCAGACTGCTTACATGAATAATGCAAGGAGGATTTGGTCCTTTATGAGTGGTACTAGAGATTTCAACAAATGTTTTACTCCATCATGAATTAATTAAAATAAATAGAATTATTCAATTCTTTCCCACTGTGCAGCATAATTATACCATATTGTGTGTGTGTATGTTTTAATTATTCTATTCTCATTGAATTTTAATGCAAAATATATAAACAAATATAAGTGATTAATATATCTATATTGCATTAAGCAATTGCTATTTTAAGTATTAAAATAATTAAACTATTATTTTTGTTTATTATTTGGCAGTTTCTACCATTTTCTCAGCCTGGAAATATTAATTGCCAAGACCCGTGGATTTCAAATTCCAAAAACAGCCAATGCATTTTCAATGAGTCAGATACAACAGTACCAGGAGCATTGTTTAGTCATTTGCATAGGTAGGCAGAGCTTTTTTCATTTAAAAAAAAGAGAATTGACAGTGACATTTAAGTAAAATAAGAATAATAAATACTAAGGAACAGATTTAGAATCATTGAGAAGTAGGGCTGGAAGGGACCTCCATAGGTCATCTTGTTCAACCCCCTGCCTAAGGCAGGATCATCTATATCCAAACCATTGTATACAAATCCAAAATCTAACTTAATAAAAGTGTTTTGTTGCCACGGGAGCACTTAGCCCGCTGGGTCTCAGAATAAGATAGGGACATAAGTCTCATGCATAGAAACTAGTAGTACTACTGCATGATAGCTGGACTGACCTGCTAACTCTCATCTTATGAACAAACTTATCCCTGTTTTTCACTTTTCCCTGTTCTCCCACCAGAACCATCCCTAGGGGTGTGCGGGGCCTGGGGCATTTCAGCCTGTGTGGGGCCGATATTAATCACCTTCTTGTGCTCATCCTTGAATCCTTGCATTATCCTCACTTTCAAAGCCCTTTATTATATTACCTCACCTACATCTCTCTTTTCATTTCTCAGTGCTTCCATCATTCCAGTGCTCGTCTTTTTTCCTCGTCTGTCTCTGCTCCTCTTTTGTCTCTTTGTCCTGCTCTTAGCTTGCACCTGATCATGAATTGCTAGCTTCCTTTTGGCTAAAAACATTTCTTTAAATCCTTCTTCCCTTATCCTTATGCAAATAACTCCTACAACTTTCTTTACCTGAACTCTTGTTCCAGAATGTATCTTGTTTTAGATTGCCAGTCTGCTGGGTAGGGAATATGTCTTTTTAAAGCACTATACAAAAGTATGACATTATAGTTTTTAATACTAATAATGTAATATCTATTTTAATACATATTTAGAGTGTTGTACTGGACTTCCATTTATCTGCAAGCTGTGGTCACGCACCAGCTTATTAAATAGCAACCCCCAAACTTGGATGTAATATGAAAATGGCACATGGCTTTGACCTTAATAGTCATAGCAGCCTTATCTAGCAGTTCTTTTTACTTAGTATTTAAAAACTTCATTTGGTAAAGCAGTAAAACTCTCAGGGTAACTGTACTGAGCACATGCACAAGCCATTTCAGACATAGTGCAGTTTCTCTGAGCTGTGTAAAAGTGAAGTGGGGGGGAAAATTCACTGCTTAGAAAAAAGGAAGTTGACAGCATGAGAAGCAGCTAAAAATAGATGGCTAGAGTAACAAAGAGAGATGGGGCAGTATAGAAATAAAGATCCTGCATTGTACCTCCAGTAGTGTAGTGCTCCATTATCCCTGTTACATTCCTTATAGGGAATGTGTATACCTTTGAGTTTCCGGGAAAAAAAGTTTATCTCCTCTTGTGTATTTTGTGTATTAAAACCTAAACAAGTCTTTTGCTGTTGTTTACATGAGGGAAGGGAACCAGTTTCTCCCAGAATCTCTATCAAATTTATTGAGTTTCCTGACCCTTTTCCTTCAGAACCCTTTTACATGCCTTTACACTTCTTTCCCCACAGTGGTACCTACTCAATAATGGGGCTGATTAATCTTTTAGCAGGCAAGAAACTTTTTTCTCCCTGTCATTTCCCCACCTCACCACAGATCTTCAGAACAGATCATTTTTTTGCTCAGTTATCCCCAGAAGTAAACTAGCAAGAAGGGATCAGACCTGATACATTCCTCTGCAAGATGAATATTTTATTAAAATTCAAGAAAGTAAATGCAGTAGATTTGAATGAAAATGTTTATGCAGTCTTGATTATAACACGTGATTTGTCCTCTCGAATATTTTAGCATGAAATTTCTATGCTACTTTCACTCATTGTTAGTAGCATAGAAAGTTACTGGGTTTACTGTTAAAGTTACTGTTATTTTAACTGGGAGTTAAAATTCCCCCCTCTGCAGGGAATTAGATGGTACCGAGTTCTGTAGAGGAGTTCTTCATGGAGGGTTGAATTGCAGCCTACAAATGGAAACAAAACTGAAGAAGTTTGTCTTGCATTTGTTCCTTGTGTGGGACCACCTGACTAGCTCAGCTGAGTGGAGCAGCAGTGACATACTGTGGTTGATTTGATTATTCCCTTCTCCTTATGCAAAAAGATAGCTCATACATCCTATTATGTTTGGATAGGGCAAAAAATAGAATTTGTATTCTTTTTTAAGCAGCAAGTCTAAATTCTGTGTTCTTATTTTACCATAAAAGAACAAATACAATTCAGGATTTTTTAAAATTAAAACAACATATTTTTGGGGTAGAAGGAAGTGTGAGGACCATTTAGTAAAAGAATTTTGAGATTCTTACACATGAAATTTAAAATTAATAATTTGATGTGTGAGCATTTATTGTTGTGTGTATTTCTGCACTGATCGCCTTTTTTCTTCTTCTTAAAGTCCAGGATATATGAACTCAGCTGGTAAATCTCCAGCTCTAATTACCGGTAATGATTCTATAAGCGGCAACAGAATAAAAGAATCATTGTTTGATATTGTGGAAGAAACAGCAATACCAAATACCACCCAGGATGAAACCAGTCATTCCATTCTAGCATTGTTCAAAGATGAGAGCAAGCTGATTCATAATACTCCCTCCAAAAAGCATTGCAGTTCTTTTGTTAACCAAAGCAGTATCAACCAATTATTTACAGGTCATGATAATACAAATCAAATGTTTAACAGATGTAGCCTTTATGACATTAAAGAGGTTTATCACAAGACTGACTGTGCTGAAAGATGTACTGTAGGCAGGTGCCTTAAGGGAATTTTCACAGTTCCAGAACAGAATTTCTTTCAAAGGAACAATAATTCGAGCACTAGCCATAAACAAAAGGAAAAGTCTAATAAGAGCTACTTGAAAGAGTGCCTTGAAGGACAATATTACTTCACACCTTCTGAAATACAAGAAAATCCTGCAAAGTATGAAAGATTAGGTAAGTATCAATAATGCCAGGGATTATCTAGCTTTACTTCTATCATGTAGGGGAACATGGTTTGAGTGAGCCAGAGGAATTGTGTCAGTGTGAAAAATGTCACAAAAATAAGGATTGTCATTATTTTTCCCAGGTTTAATGATATAATCATTTTGTGAATTAATAATTTTTATCAAAATCACAATGGAAAAATGTGCTTTCCTATAATGCTCTGTTTTAAATTTAAGCTCTAATTTTTGTTTTTAAGGGTTATTTACAAATCACCCTGCTGAAGAGATTAACTTCGAGGGAACCATGCAAAGCTATTCAATGAACCAGAAGTGAGTTTCCAAAGAAATTACTAAATATTAAAAAGCTGTATCTGTGAATACTATAAATAATGATGAAATCTTGGCCCCAAAGTCAGTGACAAAACTGTCATTGACATCAGTGGGCCACAACTTTGCTTAATGTGTATGAAGTAGCACAGGTCCAGATCCACAAAACAACTTGGAATACAGCAGGACTTGTGAAGCATTTAGACATCTGCCAAAGTGCAAAATCCTCAATTTAGTCCCTAGTGTCTACAATCTGTTGTCAGCAGTGCAGTTCCCTTGGCTCCCCAACTTCTGCTTTTTGCATGGTCAAAACTGCCACCATCTGGGCAGGGCTGAACAGCTTGGTACCTTTCTCTCTAATCTTGACCAGAGCCCTCAAAAACAAGACATTTCTCTGCCTACACCTGCCAAGAAGCCTGGGCTCCATTAGCCATGTTCTGCACACACCTATGGGATTGAGTTTCACATAAAGCACAGCAGCCATGGCTACTTGCTCTCCAAAATACAGCCAGGGGAGGAAACTCACCTGTCTTCATATAGTACATGAGGTGATCCTCAACCTGAAAGGATTAAAATGCACATCACAACATTAGAAGAGTGCCCTAAACTCCAGGATGTAACCTGTTCCCTGGGAGAACCAGGGGAAAAGGCAAGTTTTGGTGTTTTTTTTAAAGAAATTTGTTGTGTTCCAAGCCAAATCAACCCCAAACCATGAGTCAGTCTAGAATCATAAGTGGCCCTACAACCAGCAAATATCCTCCACCCCCACCAGGGGCTTCAGATATCTCCAACGTCTTTTGGTGGGCATCCTATATGCAGGCCCAAGCCCAGAGGCTTGGGGTTTGGATGCCCCCAAGTTTTGCCTGCCGTCAGCCATATGGCCACAAAGAGCAAGCTAGGGAGGAGCCTCCCATTTCGATAAAGTGGGCTTTAAGCCCTAGTACCTTGGCAGGTACTAAACCACACCAGAAGAACAGTTATCCCCCGGGTGCTTAAGGAAAACTGCCTTCACGGACCCAGATACATGGTGTTTCCCCTTCCAGGGTAAAAAGCAAAAGTATAGTGGAAAAAATGTCCCTTTTACCCATGTCATGTTGCAAAAAAGTGTTCAAGATTTCTGGGGTCAGAGAAAGAAGGAGCTCCAGTGATTAGAGTACTTAGCTGGAAGAGGGGAGGTCTGGGTCTTAATACCTAAGGGCTGTCTGTGAATTCTGCATTGAACACTTGCTGGATAAAATACATGCAGAATAAAGGCTGGAACCTAGGTCTCTGCTCCCCAAGTGAGTGCCCTGATCTCTGGGATGCAGCCAGGTTCCCTCTTTCTGGCCCAATGAATATTATATTCTTTTTTTTGCAAACTGGCATGGTGTCAACAAGAGGAGTGGAATGTGCCCAGCCCCCACCTTACCCTAAAGCAGGGGTGTTAACATACCATCCACAGGCTCTGTAAGATAGGGGTTGAGCACTTTCAGTTCCTCCTGTTGACACCATGTTGGGTGGCAAAAAAGAGTGTAACATATATTGGGCCAGAGAGAGGGAGCCAGCAGGAGCTTGGCTGCAGTTCAGAGAACATATTGGCATAGGTATAAATTACATTCCTTTTTTATACTGATATAATTTCCATCGGGATACAAAGTGGACTGATGACCAGTTATCCCAGGGTAGTTGCTGCAGTAGATGCTATTACAGTGCCCCACCATTTGGCAGTGTAGGAGCAGATAATAGCTTGTTTGCATTGAGCTAACAGCTATCTTCAGAGAACTGCAGAAGCTCAATACCTAAAGTGCTGTAATAAACACCCTATGGCAGAGTTATTTACTCTACTGCAATGCACGTATAGATGCTGACAGGGTTGGCTGGGGCACAAGGAAGCTTTACTGCGGGGACTTCCTGCTGGCTAGCCCTGCACTGATGCACCCTCGTGTGCCAGCCAGTCCCACTGCAGCACATTGAGTCATGTCAGAGCATCCCTAAGCTGGCAAACTGACCCCCTGTGCTCTCTGCCAGCCGGGGCTGCTTTGCCTTGGCTCAACATACTGTGGTCCTGAGCACCCATGCAGATGCTTCACCTGGAAGCAGTAAACTCCAGTGCAGTTTATTTAGCCACATTAACTGCACATGTAGATGTGCCAAGCAAAAATTAAATATGCCGGTTATTTCTGAACATACACTTAGCTCTATTATATAGATTTAGTTTCTAGATCTTGTCTTTTGCACCAAAAGTAATACAAAGTGCTTTTAAAAATAACCAGTTAAATACAGATGGTGTGTGGAGTGTTTAGGGAAAACAGGCAGCTATCACTGGCATCAAAATGGTTTGTAAACTGA